GGTTAGGCATTTAGATAATAGGTTGTATCCCAACCTCAATAGGGAGATTAACAAAGATTCTCACCTCACTATTTCACTTAAAAGTTGGGGTTAATTTGTAAATTACCCTAGTTGGGTATATTAATGCAAGGTTTTCATCATTTTTATTGTTAATATTCTCTTCTTCTAATATTCTTAATAGTTTTACTTGTTAATTTATAAAGGTCATTCATCACTATGTCTGAATGTGTAGAAGTGGACTTGTTAAAACTACTAATTGGAATTTTTACTTGTTAATATACCATATTAGTTGCAAAATGAGATGTTTGAAAACCTTACATAAATGACAATTTCAATTAAAATTTTAACAAGTTGAATTGATATTATAACATGTTTATTATCTACGAATTTATCAGGAATTATCTGATTCCCTTCACTACAATTTTCACACAATATATGACTTAGGAATTTTTTTTAATTATCTCTTCTTATTTTAAATTATTGATCACATGGAGGGGGGACTCACTAGCACTACATTCCCCCCCGCCCCAAAAAAAAAAAAAAAAAACAATTCTAAATGCACAACATATATTCACTAAATATAAAATAATATGTGCACAACTGCATCTTTTGGCCAAGAATTGAATATTAGATATTGGATATGTGGTTTACTGTGATTGAATAAATAAAATTATTCATAAGTTGCATCCAATCTGTCCAAAATAGGTTGAAATTAGATCATGATCTGTTTCACCTAGAATCATCTATTAATCAGGTTACCACTTTGGTTGAACATCATTGGGTTTATAAATATAATATAATATAAATGCCCCAACTAAGTGGTCCTAATAGGATATGCATTATTGTCTCTCATAATCTTCATTTATTTATATATAATGATAATTCGAACATGCAAACCAGATCATTAATCAATAATTAATTTCAACCCATCGTTTCCCAGCCGTGAGATGGATGAACACGTATCTAGCTATGTAAGTAATCAAATAAACATAAATAAAAGGTGAACTTCCAAGAAAAGGACCAAAGAATAAAAAAATTATGAATAAGGACCTTGGATTTCTGAAATTTCTCATAAGGACCTAGGTCCTTTCTTACCCATTGTTTGAAAATATATATTTTTGAATAACATATAAGGAATTCTAGTTTAAAATTTTTAAAAAGTAAAATATAATTACCTACCATCTATTTTGATAAGTTACAAATATCTACCTTCTATTTTCTTGGTGAGGCACAAGAAGTATGCTCCACACCAAGTGCATCATCTAATATCCTCTAGAGTATATAGAATAAACGGTTAGAACTCTCCTAACTAATTTATTCCAAATACAAAACTTGGCATTCGGACCTCCTTAAATTATTAATGTGACCTCATAATTTAATTGTCTTCTCTCCCTCCTTAAATTTAAACAAATAAGTATGGAAATATCTAAATAAATGTTTCATGAAATATCACATTAAAATTAATAAAAAAATGAGGATTAAATAAATGCCAAATGTAATGACTAATCTACCTCATTGCATCAAATTCCTAATTCATTAATTTTTTATGTACATGTTGAAATATTATTCTTGACAACTTATATATTTGAAATTTTAAAGAATCTCTATATAAAAATATTTACATAACTAAAAAGGTTGAAATATGATGAAAATTTTAAAATTATAAGTATTAAAATTAATTTTTTTGGTAACTAAATAATTTTTTTAAACAACATTTATGCTAACAAAAGTATTTTGGTAGAAAAATATGATTTAACAATTTATAAAAATATAGGTCAATTTAAATAGTTAGGAGATTTAAAATATCATAAATAGGAAAATATCATAAATGTGTGTGTTTAGGGCTTGTTTGATTGTATTCTCATTTTTTAAGTTTTATAATAAATTTTTCAAAATTATTTTTTCAGAATAAATAAAAAAATATATTTAATTATGTTAATTCAAAAACAATTTTAAAATTAAAAGTTAATTGATAATGATGGTTGCTAGTTATTAACGGTAGGGTAGTGGTTTATAGTAGTTTTGTTCTAATAATTAAATATTAGTGCATTTTGCAAAAATAAAAAAACATAATTTTTTTAAATATTTAAATCCAAAATACTTACCTAAAACATTTTTTATTTCTTTATTTTAAAAATAGTAAAAAAAAGTTTGTAATCAAAATCAATCAGGTGCTGATTTTTTTTTTTAAGGAAAACCTACATAAGTTTTAAAATTAGAAGAAATATCTCTATAATTAAAAAGAATAAACGGAAAATTAGTGTATTTTACTATATAAAGTAAAAGAAAATTATGTGTGCACATTTTTATTTAAGTTTTGAGATTTTTAAATAAGAATTAATCAATAGTATTGACTATGAGAATGATGTGATTCTAAAATATTATAATTACTTCAATATATTTTATATATTGTTGATTGACAATTTACTTCAAAATTTGTAAGTAAAACTGTCTCTAAAATATTACTTTAGCCCATCATATTCTATCATAAAAAAAAAAAATTCTCACGTCAACATTAAAGATTTGAATACATTTCAACAACAAAACCAGCTTTTGGTTGGCATTGAAATGAATTTAGTTTCTTTCTATACTGCCTTTGAACCTGTTATTTCACATCATCTCTAAGAACTATTATTCTAATTCTTAAGAATTTCTTTTCAAATCGGTTAGAGGTTAGTGAGAGTGATCTCTAGTATTATTGGGTGATGAAGACGATCTCCTGAGACAAGATATTGCAGAAATATGATACAAATGTGTATGATAAGTACCTCTCGATGCTCCTAATAAATAAGGATTCATTTTTTAAAAACATACGTTTTGTCATTGCAGAATGTAGAAGGTATCAATTCTGTATCCAAACTGCAACATCAACAAGCTTAATAGGTGAGAGATAATGCCGAGACATTAAAAATTATATTGGATATTATTTTCTGAAATTTATTTTAATAAAAAAAAAAATGTTTTGGCTGGTGTTTTTAATTGAAATTAATTTTAAATGTATAATGACAATAAAGGATGCCTTTTATAATGTAAATATTGAAAAATTTGTTAAATGTCCACTTAAAAAATAATATATAATAGTGATTCATGCATTTTTATAATTATTTAACTCGTATATATACTTCTTAATGATAGAAATTTTAATTAAATTATATCGTAACATTAACAATTTAACCTATATAAAAATAAATGAATATATTTAAGTATAAATAAATTTCATAAAAGAGAAAAATAAAATTATTATGCACCTTTTGCATAATTATCCACCTCCTTCAAGTCTCACATCCCAACAATCATTTTAAGAGTAAAGACCGACTTCTGCCTCAGCCATGAGAGGCATAAATGATAATTATATTGATAGTTTTACATCTAACAATCATTTTTAAGAAAATAATTTTGTCCCTAATTCTATTAACTTCTATTACATCTTCTTTCCACTCCTTATCAACAATGATATCTACCATATTGTGTGTGCTTACTTTTTTTTTATAATCAAAGTTGAAAACCTTGAATATTTTAGCTTGTTTATCAGGCCCTTGAGTTTCTTGTAGGTACAAAATATTAATTTTTCTATGAATTCATAATTTCTACTTCCTTCATAGATTTATAATTCAAAGTCTCAACTTTTTAAGTACCAAATTTAATCTCAATCACATAGAGTAACTTCTTTAATCACCCTCTTCAAAAGAACATGATAACTTTTACTCATTTAACACTACATTTGGACGTCGATTGTAGCGACTTTAACTCATTTGTCATTGCATTAGAGTCATATAGTGCATACTTACGGGCAACAACCTAACATTGTAAAAAAAAAAAAAAGCTTATTTTTCATATCTATATGAGATTCAACAAATTTTATGTTGATTATTTGAGAGTATAACAACCCTCTTCTTTTATTTTAGACTTAAGATTGATTATAAATTAAATATAAAAATTTCATAAAAGAGAAAAATAAAATTCTTTATGTTGCTTTGACAGTATACAAGCCACAAAGTGCCTATGCCTGAGGTATATTTGACAATTTAATAATTCTCATAGATAATAATGGCTTTCAACAGCTGGAATTGATTTTTGATAGTAGGTAAGAGCAAGAAAATGCCTCTCCACGGTGTGGAATTAGAGTCAAGTCTAGCTCCAATAACTTGGAGTGTATTCGAATTTTAATTGGATACAATTGATTGTAAAAAAAAAACATTAATTAATATAATTAATTTTAATTTAATTGATTATATTAACTTATATGTAAAATATTTTTAAAATAATAAATATAATTAAAAGTATTATATTAATTTTTATCTATTTTTGGTATTAATTTTTACTTTGTTTTAATAAAACATATGATGCATTATCAATATCATGATCATTATCAATCCTAAAAACATTAGAAAAACACTACTCAAACACCATAAAAATTATTAAGTTTTATTATTTTATTTTAATATTTATCTTTTAAATTCCAATATGAGGGTCACGTGAGTGGGCTCAGTAACCAACAGTCCGTTTCTCGTGCATTTATGCGAGCGGGATCAGTCATGCTTGTTGACCCTCAAAAATAAAAATAAAAATGAAGGATTATTTTTTCCTAAACCAAAGATCATTAGATATTTTAAATTCAATTATAATTAATTTTATCCTTCAATGTTAAAAATTTCTTCTCTCTTCATTCTACCATTTTTTTATACTATTAATGAATCCTATATTATATTTTTAATATTTTTATTATAAAATGTTAAATTAAAAAGTATTTTTTTTCAACTTTATTTCAAAGATTAGTGAACACCTAAAATTAAATAATTTACAATAAAACTTTTTTAAAATGTAATATAAAACCTGTCAACAATAAATAAATAATAAATAAATGATAGGATAATAAAAAAAATTATTATTAAAAAATATAATTAATTTATAATTAAATTTAGAGCGTGAAATAATAAAGTTAAGACTTAGTCCATAAATAAAATCGGTCATCTCATGAGTGACCTCCCATTTAAACGAAGCTACCTCGTAATTGGCACTCACCTTCATGGAAACTTCCTCATTCTTTCCAACTTCTCAACTGTCTTCTTCGTGGTCTAAATTTTCCCTGTTGAAGCTGCAATTCTGATTTCTTCTCTCTCTCTCTCTCTGTGCCAAATCCGAACCATCGAAGCGTGACTCAGTTTTGTCTCCCGCATCTGATTTAGTACTTTTGGTCTTTTGTCTTGATCTTCTGTCAATTTGCTTTTCATCGAGCGAATCTGCTTTTCTCACTCACTCGAGGGAAAACCACGATTTTCCCTCTCATTTCCCCAGAAACCAATTCTCGTTCGTCTTCCATGGCTGGCATGCTTCCCGGAGTTGAATCTGCTCGAAGGAGACGCTTCCATCAGACCGGGCCATCCTCTGATTGCCCTCATTTCACCAGAAGACCTTCCTTGTGCTTATATTCAAGCAACCACGAATTCCTTCATTTCTCTTCTTCTCTGCAGGTTCGTGCTCTTATCTCTCTCTCTCTCTCTCTCTCTCTCGATTTGATTAACAGTTCTGTTTTTGTGATTCGTTCTTAATTCGATTCTGAATCTGAAAATGAACTGCAGCAAAGAAACGTATTATATCAGGCGCGAACAGATGAGAAGCTGGCAGGAGCTGCCGGAGAAGCCAAAGAAAGATTGGATGAGAGATTAAGATCAGCTCAAAAGAAATCACTTAACAAAAGGTATTTCAAAATTCTTCTTCATTAACCAGAATCCACGGGATTTTTGTAAGGTATTCCGACTAAATAATGTGAGTTGTACATAGTTTTTATAATTTGACCTATATTCTATATTTGATTGGCTTACTGATGTTAAGACCCGAAAAGAATGACGTCGGTGTATCTGTGATTCAAAATTGTACAAACGCAGGTCAACAAGTACAGCTTCACTATCATTTTTTACTTTTAAAGTTTAGACTAATTAATACTAATAAAACTACGCATTAGTCTAAATCTTTTTCAAAGCTGATCTTGCGTTTATCTGGACTCCTTCGAGATAAGTGTTTTAAAAGTTCCGGAAAAGGAAAAATCTCTTCCTCACTCTTTCTGGTAGAATCTCAAATCCATTCACCCAAGGCTTCTTGTTTAATATCTCTTCCCCCCCCCCCCCCCCAAAAAAAAAAAAATTTCTAGGCCAACAGACTGATCAATGATCAATTTTTTTTTCTAGGCCAACAATAATTAAATAAACAACCAAATCAGCAAGTAGAACAACAAATCTGAAACATATTAGAATCCAGATGAATCTTGTAAAGTATATATATCGCTTAACATCGGTTGGTCTAGATGGTATCTGTAAGGCTTAAACTGTTCTGATTGAAGAAGTATATATTCGTTTCTGACCAAACCTTCTATGAATATGGTTCTTTTGTGTGCTTAAATCATAAAGCTTTGCAATTAATTAACAGGAAAAACATCAAAGAGAAGGAGAAATGCAGAGAAGGAAGACCAGAGTTACACATAGAGGTATACGGATCAAAGAAAAGTGGTGGATCAAGGATGATGTTCAATTGGAGGAAACTGAGCTGGAAGGCTTCAGATCAAGAGGATTGTGCTGTGTGCTTGGAGTCATTCAAGATTGGAGAGACACTGACCCATCTTCCTTGTGCTCACAGGTTTCACTGCAGCTGCTTGGAGCCATGGCTGCAAAATAACAATTATTGCCCATGTTGCAGAACTTCCATTGTCATCTCTCACTAGATTTACCATCCCATTAAGGTTCTGCACTTTTGTTTCTCTTTGTAGGGATCGGGGATTGTGATGATGAATTGATAGGTTTCTTGTTTGACATATCAGGCATATGGATGGTGATTTGCAAAATATCAATCAGCACCTTCCGTTAAATGAGAATGTGTACTATATAAATCTGAACTGAGTTTTGAACGTGACGAAGTGATGAAAAAGTTTTTAAATATTTGGTCCATTTAGTTACATAAAAAAAAAAATTTAGACATTTAGATTTACCACAAATGCCTGGTTTAATCTAAAATTGATCAAAAGTTGAGTTTACTCGGCTCAATTTACATTAGTCTAGGCCCATTAAATCTACAATTAAAGCGCGGCAGGTCTAAAACATTGGACGAATCAATCCTAAAAAAAATATTTTGATTTAACCTTATGGTGATTATTATATCATGGGTTAAAATTTGCATACCTGGTATACTTGAACATCGAGCTCTAATTGTGGACTTTTTTTTTTTGTTAAATTAATCTCACTAATTGAATCACTATATTGTTCTCCCTAAAACTGTCAACTTACTTTTATAGATTTATTTGAGCCAGACAAGTGACAACCTCTACAAGAATGCATCAGTTAAATAATTTTATAATGTTTGTTAATTTTTTTTAAAAGGTCGAATCTGATTTTTGTTAATTATTTTTTGAGAAACAGTGATGTTAAGTGATCAGAAAATATGGAAGCTCTTCATTAGCATATATAAAAACCTTGAAAAGTACCACTTAATTTCACAACAATGCAGCTATATATGGCTTTTGAGATTTTTCATGAAGCCTTTGATACAACTTCCCTACCTACCTTTACCTATCACAAATCAGATCCCACAGGAAGATGAATCGTTAATTTCGGTGATGCATAAGTAAAGTCATATGTCACTTTGGATTCTTAAAAGTTTATAACGTAACATTCATCTTTGGCCCCCGGAAAAAAAAAAAGTAACATTCATTTATAGGTAATATATTTTTATCCAACCAAATCAAAATAACTAAATTTTAATATATTAATAATATGAATAACAAAATTTTATTACAGAATAAATAATATATAGAAAATTCATATTAGAAATAAGGGTTAATGAGCATTTTAAACCTCAAATTATTACTCGAATAGCATCTTAGATCATGAATTCTTAAAATAAACAAAAACGCTCGTCAACTTGTAAATTTTGAGCAAACTATCTCCCACCGTTTATCCGTACAACATTAACCATTTTGTAGCTCAACTATCATGCCACGTGTCAAGAGAAAATTAGTGCCACATCAGCATTTGACTAGGTCATTCGAAGTCAAAAGTAGCAGGAGTAGTTTGCCATTTGAGTAATAATTCAAGATTTAGGATGTTCATTTCAAGAGTTCACAGTTCAAGATATTATTCAAATAATAATTTAGAATCTGTGATGTTCATTAACCTTAAAAACAAATATTTTAAATGTATAAGGTGTTTTTATTAGTAAATTACAAAGACCTTCGTAGAAATTAGGATGCCGGATTCCTCGTTTTTTCTGTTGTTATTTTTTTAAAAAAAATAAAACAATGAAACAGGGACACTTTAAGCAAGGTCGGCCAATGGTTGAGAAAGACCTTGAAAAAAGAAAACGACTGGGTAAACTTGAATAGCAGAATCCAATTACAATTTTGTTTTCAATTTAGACTAGCTAATACTAATTAAATATGAATTTGAATTGCATCCAGGTGGATAAGTATTGTTCAAAGTTCTTGAAAAGAAATTAAAAATTGTTTTGGATTCTTCATGCATAGGAATGCCGGATCCAATCAGCCAAGGTTACTTTGTTTTTAATTTATGTCCAGACAAGTTGATAATTCCATCTATCTATCTATAGTTATTTAATACTCTTTTAGGTTCTAAATATATGAAACTTTTAACCATCTTACAAGCATTCAAGGGATATAGTTAAATCACTAAGATTGTTTAAAAATTAAATATAACTTTTTAAGTTACCCCTATTTAAAAGCATGATTTTTATAAAAAAAATTAGATAATTATAATAGGAGTAATCATCAATATATCATATATAACAAAATGGTTGAAGCCAATTCCTGAAAGTGGCTTAGTGTAGCTGCTGACTCATAATACTGTTCATAGAGTTAGTGGTACTGTTTATAGAGCCATGCCTCAAGGAAAATAAAGCGTTGGCTTAATTTTGGATTGTGTGTCGTGATTTTGGGTCTAGAAAAAAACTCCCTCTTATTTTTTTCTTTTAAATTTAAAAACTCTATCTTTTCAAACTAAAAAAAAAAAAAAAACAGTTGATAAATCTCAAGCCTTGTAAAGCAATGTCTATCATCTCTATCTTTTCACCTCTCTTACTCTGTTCTATTATTTGTTTTTCCCTATTCGAGTGCCCTCAGTTTCAATTTAGCCCATAGATTATTTTGTGAAGATTAGAGGCTAATCGAGCTTGATTCTAAAATCCTCAGCTTCTCTCCTTCTCCAATAAAATCTCTCCCTGCTAATGTTGAGCTCAAAAGCCTCACTTGGCATCTTGGCTTTTGTGACTTGAGCTTCTCGCCACCTTCCACTTTATTTTTCGTTCTCTGCTGGATTTTGTCAACAATGCCTTCACATTCTTATTCATTTCTGTTGATGTGAGCAAACATTTTATTCTTCGATTCCTTCTGATCAATTAACAAGCCTCCCAAATCGATATAGGTTAGTAAGAAGCTCTGGAAGGGTCTCTTTTGTTGCGTTTGGCATGCTGACATTATTTTAAATACTTATAATGTGATTAATAGGGATTGATTTGTTTTATTAGTTTTGCTTACAGAGATGTCATTAGTAGTGCGCACTCGTGAGCAACTAAAGCTCATGTCTTAGAGGAAGGTGCATCTTATTTCCTAGAAAATGGTTAAGGAGAATAAGCAACATGGAGGGTTGGGTTTTAAAAACTTTATAGCCATGGCCTTATGCATAAAGCTTTGTTAGAATCTTCTCACACAGCTGTCCACTCTTTGGATCAACTGCTTAAAGACTAACTATGGTTGTAGTGATCCCCATCTACCTTCTGTTTGCAAGAAACGATCCTCATTTTGTGTTTGGCAAGCAATCCTAGATGTTTAGGATTGGTTTTATTCTAGTCTTGGGAGGAAATAGGGTAATGGTTTGGATAACAAGTGTTGGTGGGACCTTTGGACCCCAATAGATCAACCTTTATTCACCCTTGTGGACAAGAACCATAGTTTCCTCAATCCTCATGCTAGCGTCATTGACTTTGTGCAGCTGAATGGCTTATATAATATTATGGGTTGTAAAAGCTTCTTGCTCGAGTGGGTTGTGAACAATATTTGTATTGTCCTTCCTTCTTGCCTTTCTAACTCTGATTCCTATTCTTAGAGAGCTTCCCCAGATGGTAGATTTAGGGTTAAATTCGACTATAACTTTATTTATCACAAGTATGACTCAATAGCGAGATATCTTTAAAAAAAAAAATTTAGAAATTGTCACTTCTAGAAAAGGTTAAATTCTTTCTTTGACAAGCTCTTTAAGAGAGACTTCTTACTAATTCACCAAGAGCCAAAATGAGACTTTCACCCATTGATGAATGCTCCCTTGAGTGTCATAGTGAAGAGACTATTTTACACATTCTTAGGGATTACGCTGTTGTAAAGGATTTTTGGCCAAACTTGATTTCTATTAACTTTTATCTTAGATTTTTTAATTGTTATTTACAGGAATGGTTTGATTGGAATGCAAAACACAACCTAGCTAGGAGTGCTTCTTCAAAATGGCCTTGGACGAACGAAGCTATTTGGTTTTGGCTGTTGGCTACTGTGGAAGAACGCATGCAAATCTATTTTTAAAAGTTCTCAACTCACTGCTAAGGAGTTAATCCATAGTTGTATGCATCATATGCACAAGCACATTGCTGTTGGAACACCAAAGCACATCATTCTACCATATTCCATTGCATCGGATTGTACTTGGATCTCTCCACCTAGTAATACCATTCGAGCAGACGTGCATGCTTCAATTAACCCTTGGCACCATGTTGCCTTTGGTGGGCTTCTTTGAGACTCAAATGGCAATTGGGTTTGTGGGTTCAAACGAGACTTAGGAGACGTTCTGGTTGTGGTTGCAAAACTATTGGCAATTAAGACAGGATTAGAGGCATGTAAACAACTAGGTTTCATAGGTTTCATCTTTACTTTGATTCCTTGGACACCATTAACACGATTTTGCAAGATTATATAGCTAATCACCCTTGGAAAGAAGAAATTAATGCTACACGAGACCTCATTTATAGTGTCCTCGAGGTGGAGATGCACCATGCTTATAGGGAAGTCCTTCAATGAGCTGATCACCTTGCTAGAGATAGTCATGGATCTAATCCTAGGATAAAATTTGTCCATGTAATTCTGGATGACTTGCACGCTATGCTATGCGAAGATAGGTCAATCGTTACCTAAGTTGTGTGTTTTCTTGTAATGTAAATCTCAAGCTTTAGGCTTGCCATTTACATTAAAAAAAAAAAAAAACCTCATGTTTTAGAGCGGCATTATTGTATCTTTGACTAATTCCCTCCTTGAATTTATGAAGGTGATTGATGAATGATCTGTCTCTCTTTTAGGTTATTGTAGTTGCCTTTTCATTATTATGAAGGGTTCCTATTTGATTAAAAAAAAGAATTTAATCTTTTAATATAATATATGCTTGTCACCCTTTAAGTTAGAGAGTGATTAATTGATATAGAGAATGAGATTGATATTGATAATGAAAATGATATAATATTAATGCTTAATGCAAAAATGATAACAGGTTACATAAGGTATTAGCAAGAAATAAATTCTTATTGAAAATATTTAACCAAGATCAATGCTTAACAGAAAAATATTGATCGGTATATAGGGTGTAAGTTTAAATTTTTTGAGGCCTAAGGTTTTGGCCTTAATGGCCTTGCAGGATACACAACCCTAGCTCCTGTGTCAGGATGACGCGCTCAAATCAAAAGGTCCGAGATGTTGTTGGGACATTTTCCCACCATCACATTTTTGTAGGACAAATGATCAATAATTCAATGTCTCTCCAATAACGATTGCAGTCATCACAGGTTGCATTCATAATCATTCCAAGATTTTTGTTTTGTTTTGTTTTGTTTTGTTTAATATCTATAAGGAGAGACTCACGTACATCCATGTTGAGGTTGAAATAAATCTCTTAATATTGACGTTTTGTACCGTCAAAGTGCTTATAATTCTCTTGAGAATGCTTCCGAAAATATATATATATATATTATTTGTTGTTTTAACTTGATATTATTATATATTGATATTAAATTGATTTATATAATATTTTTTATTTTTTATTTATTTGAATATTTATAAAGTGAATATATAATAGTCATTTTTTATATCTAAAATCTCATGTTAATAATTTTAAATTAAATTTTGAAGATTTATGATATTTTATTTAATAATTATTTTCTTCAAAATTCAATTCCAATATTTATACAAATAATATTTTTGTCTACATTAAGAGTAAATAGATTATTTAATGACCAACTAGAGTTGGGATCAAAGGAGAGGTTAATTCCTTATAACATGATGAATTGAAGTTCGAATACTCACAAAAAAAATGCTTATATTTAATGGCTAATCGTGCTTTAAACATGATTGTCTCAAATAAAAGAATATCTATGAGGAACAAAAATACATTACCTAACAAACATTAATTTACTTTGGGGGGAAAAAAACATCAATGTACAATTTTTCTCAGGAAAATCTTATTTGTTTAAAACGACGCCGTTGTTAGCTCCCATGTATGTGAACGGCCACCTCACCCCCAACGGCTAATTTCAGCTTCATATTCAACTCAAGTGACCGTTTACTCAAGAGCTCATCGTCTCTAATTCAAATTCCCAACCCAATCCTCTGAAGCACCGTTTACAGAAAACGCCCTTCATTGAATTGACATTCAAAACCCCAAAATCTACAATAAAGGTGAACGAGTTTGTGGAAAATAAAGCTTCAATCTTTTGTCGTCGAATCTCTCACCTATTCTCGTCCTCGATCTGATAACAGTAATTCGAAAATGGTGTACTCGTACACACCCGCTTACTACTCCACCCTCCAAGACTCCATTACGTCTCTGTGCAAGACCATCCTCCCTTTCAGCTTCAAGAAACGGTGCTTGCCGGCGTCGGAGCTGAAGCTGTCGAAGCTGCAATCCGACAACCTCAAATGGCAGCAAGACTCTTTCCACCAGATTCTCAATCTCATGGGTCTTCACAAAGAAGGGATTGTAGCTGAATCCGAGGTTGTCTCTTTCAGAACAAATTTGCTCGAGAAACTCATCGCTTCTCCGCCAGATCACGAACACCCTGTCGTGTTAAGGGATAAATTACTCTTCTTGCAGGTATGCGTAAAGGTTAAAACTCTTTTACTCACCTGAATGTTTCACGAAGAGGGTCAGATCTTGAATTAGATACCCTTTTGTGTGTTTTGTTTGTTTTGATTTTAGGAGCTTCTTTATGCGAAATGCATTTCCGAGGAAGAGTACCATTCTTCGAAGAGGCCGTTGCTTCAGAGATTGGCAGTTCAAGGGGCTGAGATTGAAGCCAGAGATGTGATCGTTGGAGGATCGAAGGACACGAAGGAGAATTCAGAAGAAGAATGGTCAGTGATTGACTTGAAGGACGAACAATGCTTTAAAGAGAACATAAACTCAAAGAACAAATCAAAGAATATTAAAGGATCAGCCTCTGTTTTCGGCTTCATGTCTGCTTACAAATCTGGAAACAACAGAACAGAGAAGAGTATATTTGAATCGGCTTCTTTGGGTATGGATTCAAAGGGAAAACAAAGCTCGATTCTCATGGAGGAAAGTGGACCTCCAGAACCCATGAAGGAAAGCTCTGGTGCAGCAGAAAAGCTGAAGAGGAAGCCGTTCAAGAGTCTGTTCCAGAAGGACCAGAAAGAGGGAAATGAAGCAGCAATAAAGCATCAATGGGTTTTGATGGGTTCAAAAAATGGAAGAAGAGTGAATCAGGAGATGAAACAGCGTCGTCTCAAGCTAATAATACCATAAGAACTCTTAGAGAAGGACCAGACACCAAGTTGATTAAGAAGAAGCTGCATTCTGATGGCTCACCATCTGATTTTTTCATAGATAAGGTTTGATTGATTGAGTTCTTTCATTTTCATCTTCATCATCAATCTCTGAATAACAAAGTGATTCTGCTTGTTGAACCAATTCTTGCGTGTGATTATTAGGTTTTGGGGGAGAAGATAAAGAAAGAACTGTCAAGAATCCAGACAGAACTGAGCACTACAAACCAAGTCTTCAATTTTCGTATGTCTTCTCAACAAACATCCTTATTATTATTATTATTATTATTATTTTCCTTAGGCAAAATACAAGTTTTGGTCCCTATACTAAAATTAGTGTATTTTGATATTAATTCCTATACTTTTTTTCATTACTCCAAATCCTTTTAAGTTTTATATAACATTAATCCTTATAATGACATAGTTAAATGCATAACTTTTTTTAATTCTGTTGAAAAATTATAATGAGTTAGAACAGAGTATATGCGCATATGTCAGCAATCATTAAGTTATTATGGTCACGTTTTAAAATATATGGCTAGTGTTGCATGTAGATGAAATTCAAGGGACTTCAAACCTTGGGGAAAAAAAGAAGAAGAAGAACTAATATCAAAATATGCTAGAAGTATGAGGACCAACAATTATATTCTTCCTTTTCTTTTCTTTTTTTAGTTTAGATTATATAGCATCTAACAACAATGATTCGGGTTGAATAAACAGGAATGATCAAATGGAAGAAATTTCTACAAAACTTCCAGTGGACAAGGCCGAGTTGAAAAACTACTTTCCAAAGTAAGTTGCTAATCTTTATGAAGAAATTTCTACACAACTCCATGATAAAAGTTGTTTTTTTCAAATTAAAATTGTAGTTAAACTCTGACTATTTATACTGTTAGAGTTGTAACAAGTAAACTCATGAAAGTTTAGGTTCAGTAACATGTTATGCTGCATAAGTAACATATATAAAAGTGAGCAGTCCATTCCAAAAACTATTTATAAGGACATCCTACATATTTCATAATACAGCATGATTTGTCTAAAGTCAGTCATTAAATCAGTCAAATATTAATTCAATGATTGATGATCAAAACTTTAGTCGAGCCATAATCAAGATCATAAACAAAGCATTTTATTAAATTGGTCAATACACTAGCTAAATAAACTCCTGTACTTTTAGTGATGGTAATTAAACAAATTAGTTATTAATAGATCTTTATAAAAAGGATTGGAGAGAGTATAAGTCTTGTGAGTATAACTAGCCTTCTCACGTTTTGAACAATGATACACTTTTTTATTTTAAAATTAAAATTAAGGTTCTAGCCTCCTACTTAGAAGGCTTAGGAATGTCACGGCTCTTTACAAGAATCATGATATTGCCATATTTTTTTGTTGAGCTCTTAGTAACATTCCTCCACATAAGCATTTTATAGTAATATTCTCTTTGGATATAAGTTGCATTTGGTAAATTTTCTTTTACCGTTTATACCATTGATTTTTTTTATTCTTTGTCTTTAAGTAAGACACTTTTAGGAGAGATTTGCATCTCAAAATATAAAACACTTTGAGAAAATTAAGATTTTATTAAATGAGCTTATTCATATATTATCCTTTATTTCTCTTTATTTAACACTAATTAAGTGTAAATTTAAGGTTATTAAATAAAGGATATTTTTAAAAGTTTATTTTTTATTTTGAAAAAAAAATTATTAAGTGTATTTAATGAGATTTATTGGTATGCGAATTTTGTCTAAAAATATCTTATAATTTAAAATAAAGGGAGTATATATTTAAAAACATTGCACATGTTACTGGAAAAACTCAAAGTCATATACATATATATATATATATATATTGTAAAATATGAATTAATTACCTATAACATATATTGTGATATGCAGAGGGAGTATGATGTAGCTTAATTGTCCCACACAAGTATAGCAACCTAGATTTCCAGTAATTATAAAGTGAAGCTAGTTGGCATCCTCATGGTCTCAGTATAGATTTCTATCATATCAATTTTTAGATGATGACTTGACAATGCTCCACTTTTATTATAATATTGAGATTGATTTCTATATAAAATTAAATTATCTCTATAATTATTTTCTATCATGCAATATCTTGAAATTTTTTGACTATTTGTAGCATTTATCTCAAAAAGAAAAAAATATTATTGTTTTTCTGAAAAGGCTTTTGTTTCTTGTTTTTAATAATTTGAATATAAGTTCATGCAATATCTTGAAAAATTTTAACTATTTGTAGCATTTGCCGCAAAAGGCCAAAAAGGTTATTGTTTTCTTGAAAAAGCTTTTGTTTGTTTTTTGTTTTAAATATTTTGAATATAAGTTTATGCATTGATAGCCACCAATTTAATGTTGGGTTGGATATAGGTTATCCAAATTTAAGTTTGACTTAAACTAATATGAAAAGTTATATGCATTAGATAAAATTAAGCTTAATAATATATATATATATATATATATATTATAAAAGATAATGACTCATAAACTCATAAAAGATAATATTCTTCTTTTTGCTTCTTTTGACATATCTTTTATCATGCATTTTATCATGTACAGATAAAACTTATTAAATATACTTTACATTTTTTGTAACTTATTTTTCTCAAGACAAAAATATAAGCTTTTAAAAATACCCTCCATTTAATACTCTATTTATAAAAGATTATTAAAGAGAGCGAACATATGAGAAAGTTAATAATGAAAAAATATCATTAATGAAACCTTATTTTTATTTTAAAGAGAGAGAATATATCGAATCTTCTTTAAAAATATCTTATAATTTAGAACAGAGGTACTATTATTTATAGTTTATAAAATTACATTACATCTGATATATATATATATATATTTATTTATTTATTTTTATGGCTGTGATGAAGGTCTTGGTGTGAAAAATATGGAGATGTAGTGCTGGAAGTGGTGAAGAAAGAATTCAAAGAGCATGTTGGAGAAATGGAAAACATGAGAAGCAATGCTAGAGAGAAGCACAGCAACAACAGATCAAAGCGTTGGGCAACCTTTGATGAAGATGGAGAAAATTTTCACCCAAATCTTTTTGCTCATCCTCATCAACATCATAGTAATAATAATAATATCAACCCATTTGGGAGCAGTACCATCAATCCATTTTCTCATAGTAAGTGGAATTGATTAAGCATTGATGCCTCAATGAATTATAGGGTAAATGTGTATTCTTGCTGTTGAAATATTCTTCGAGAAGCACTCAATACCCTTAACCTATTAGATAGAATATTTTTGTCCTTGTCATTAAATTGTCATTAAATTCTTTAATAGTTAATTTTAGAATATCAATTAGCATTTTCTAACAGTCAATATTGAAAATTTGATGATAAGGGCAAAAAATAATCCGTTTTAATTTCTTCAAAAATACTCCTTAGAGAATATTTTAAAAACAAAAATATACATTTACTCATGAATTATGGCAAGCTTGCCTTGTAACCATAATATCTTCGTGTTCATGTTTAGTAGGCCCACCCAAAAGGAATTGTGATTAATTGATTACTATTAATATTTACATCTATTGTAAGAACTGAAGAACACTGTTCTTCAAGTAAAAGAATCCAAATTCCCCTTGTCCCACTCCCATCCTATGAACACTTTCAGAAGATTTTTGTCTTCATCAATTTATAGATCCATATGTTTATTTCCCATTTAGTATAACACTGGGTACATATAAACAAAGTAGCTAGCTAACAAGAAAGAGCTTGCAAAAGAAAATAAAGGAGAAAATGGACAGGAAAAAATAGAAAAAAAGATGTGATGATTTTATTTTTTATAGTTGGCTGAACATGAAAAACAAGAATGAAAAAGTAGTTAATTAATATTTTACATAAAAATATTAATATGATAAATTTTACATAAAAATTTACATATGATAAAACTTAATAATTTAACATATTAATAAAAATATAATTGCAAATTATTTTATCTAAATTTATTTCTAAAATTATTAAATAAAAAATAGTCAAACAACTTTAAACTGCAACTAAATTGCCATAAATTGTGGAATCTATCGTTCCATAAACAAGTGACTTTTTATAATCCAAGAAAAAAAAAAAGAAACAACAGATACAAAATAAACTATTTAAATAAGTGATTGAAAGTTTATCTTTACATATATAGCAATTTAGTTGTAACTGCAAAAGGTCTACCATTGCCCTCAATTAGAAGCAATATTCTTTGCAGTCAGCGAAACTTATTCAAGGGGAGAAAGAAACAACATTCAAAGGGGCAAGTGTCGCATTATTTTCTTCCTATTTTCATGACAGAAAGAAGCAGGCAATAATGGCTAGCTACCATGAAACTTGCGTGGGGGTTGATGACGGTGCTTCTGGTCAGCCAAGGAGGACTGAAATCGAAAGAAATGCCGATACCTTCTTTGCCAATCTGAGGTGTGTAGTTGGAAGATGCAGAGAAGGAAAATGAGTTCAACACATCAGATCAGATGTAGTCAAATAATTAGGCAACAAAAATTATTTACACCAAGGTCTTTCCAGACTTCTTCATTTCATGGGATTTTTGAGTAATTAGAATTCTTCTAGAGGGAATAATAGCGATTTTCCCAACAAAAAAAAAAAAATTTGTCATACCAAGCATCGCCATGAATTTCCCGCAGCTCCCGGATTTCCTTGAAGTAAAATTATACAATTTTTATTTTTCAGGGAAAAGCATAACAATTCAGTTACAATCTCATACTAATAAAAGCATTAGGCGTATCATTACCAAGGAGCGGAAATGATGCTAATATTTACAATCGCACATACACAAAATCAGTGAGATGACGTTTGTGTGTCTGAGGCAGAAGACTCGGTGAACCCTTCAGAGACATTTCCACGACACAGGGGACATATACTGGGGAAAGAGCAGACGTGGAAAAATGATTATTGCAGTAATAATGGAATTAAGAAAGAATAGAAAAGAATGAAGAATCAAGTTTTAATGACAATACCCATGTATCTCCTTAAGCCACTTGTCAACGCATGCCATGTGGAACTCATGATTGCAAGGCAGAACACGAATTTTGTCCCCTTCTTCATACTCCACCAGGCATATGTAACATCTAGCAAGTTGATCATCATAACAAACAGTTGACAAAAGGAACAATTCTCAACTGCTAATATATTTTTAAGAATAAATAAATGACAAATCACACTCACCTCCCCTTTGGTTTTGAAATAAACAGGAAATAAACAGTTACAGGTGTCATTGATACTTAGCTTGTAAATAATTTGTCAGTTTTGATGATGACATATTTCAATTCTTCGGTCAACTTTGTTGGGTTGTTTGTTTATTTTACAGATATATACATCAATTCTATGACATATTTCTAGCAATTTTTCATTTTTATGAATCTTACAATTGAGTACAATTCACAGTCCAAAAATTTCTCCGTTAGATTGACAACTTGTTTGCAATCTGAGAACTAAGTTTGCACATCCCTTCAGGTTCAGTTTTACACTAGACTCTCCTGATGAAATTCATAAAACCTAGCTCAGCCCCTCTGGTTACGTGAAAATCAAACTAACACCTCTCATATTTTAAGTTGTCATAAGCATTTTGTCTTTTGGTGATTCGTACTGCATTAAATTATGCTATTCTGAATTTCAAGATGAATACTGTGTGGGATACAAGCTTTGTAAACAGTCTGTTAGTAGAAGGGAAGTTTCTGTAGAAATTGGTAATCAGTGGCGAAGCCAGGATCCTAGGTCGGAGAGGCAATGACAGAGCTAGGATTCTCGATAAAAGAAAGGCATTTTCGTTTCTTCCAAATCAACTATTTCTCTTTTTTTCTTTCTTTATTCCCTATCCAACTTTCAATTGTAAATTCATTATTTATCTTGCTTTTTTTTAACTAGTCTTTGAGTAATATTTAGGACGAGGAGTGAGTCTATTTAGTCATATTAGATTGTTTTCTATTTTTAAACAATTAATAAATAATATTAGTATTTAGGTACAGTGAAATTGTGGGCTAATATTCATGAGGCTAAGTTAAAAAATTTCAATAGATCTTGACTAAAAAAGTAAGATTGAAATGGATTTAAATTTTAAAATATGAAAATAATGAAGTGCAAAGTATAATAAGTAAAAGATACAAATTGGAAAATATAAAAACCTACACTCCCAAACATGTCACTTTTTCCAAGTGAGGGGGGCACAATTACATGAGGCTCCGCCGCTGTTGGTGATTGTATTTCAAAACCCTCAAAGGAAGATAGCATAATTTGCTTTAATAAAAACAATTTTCTCAGATCACCAAAAACAAAACAAAAACAGCAACACACAACAACAACAAAAAATTGATGAAATTCACTTAGGTCATAGTTTAGCAAACTAATTAACTATATTCACAATGACAGAGTCATGAAGAGATCTCCCCCAAGGTTCTAATTTGACCTAATTTATGCACCCTAACATTTTTTCAAGGTAACTTGATAGTAGGAACAAAGAGACTTACTGTTCAGTATTACTACCACCATCAGCGGTGTCAACCATTTTGTGACACCTCAGAGGAAAAGAGTCAACAACTGATTCTGCTGCTGGGAGAGAGGCCATAGATAATGAAAATGGCGTGGGCTGGCGATGAAGTTCATCTAAAAACTGCAGTAAATAAATAAATGGCAACATTTCACATATTAGACTCTTTTACAGTTGAATAGAATATGGATGTGTTCGAACCATTTTATAATCTATTGATGAAACTCATTTTTTTGGGCCGCACAAAGCATGCTAACTAACAAAGGCTAACCGTCATTTCTCACAATCTCAGCAGGCTTCAATTATAAAAGATAGAGATAGATCACTTAAAAATTAGAGAGGATCACAGCATGACTTTACATCCTATAAAGAGTAAAAGTAACAGCACGACTACAACAAGTAGCCACGAACAAAAGGGTGGGGAGTATCTTGACACAACCAATCAACCTGAATATTCATGATGACATGAGCTCGAGCATCCTGCAATTTTGAAATATGGACTAGAATTTTCGGATCCAATTTAAAGTTTCATTCTATTGGAGTTTCAATGATATCCATTCTTAATTAACAGGATAAGAGATAAGCACGTCACTTATCTTGGTCCCCACAAATGAAACAATAAAAAAATTGAACATTTAATCCATTGCCGTATGGAGCCACACAACTACATCCCATAAGTAAAATCTTCATATTGAGCTAGAATGAAAAGATGCAAATTTGGTAAATGGAGACATGAACAAAAGACATTTGCAGAGTTCAAATACCCAAATATAAAGATAGACTAACAAGAGTTTACTGAGCATTGAAGCATATATCCCGATTAGAACAAACGAACTACTCCTGAAAAAACTCATGAACATAACACCACAGATAGTAATGAAAAGGGCCAAAAATAGTTAAAGGAAGCCCAAAAAAAAAAAACTGTAAAATGACTCTCATCACGAAATATGACTAAAAATATGCAACTGAATGTTAGCTACAGAAATCTGCAGGGAAAATTGTATAACATAGTTGAGACTCGAGACAAGGATACAACTCCAAATAAAGCTTCTGCAAGCAAGACTATTCTTGACATACTTGCTCGTGTATTAGATTCCTCAGTCGTGGAGAAAGGTTCACAGGAACACTTCCATCAGGGTGAAGTCCTAGTGGACAAGAATTAGTCCACTGATCAGTTTTCATTAAGGCCATCACGAAGTCTTTCCCAGATCTATATACACAAG